ACAGGCAAGAACTGGAGGACAAAGCTGCAATGAATGGTACAGAATGGACATGGAAAATCCACCCAGCTAACTCACCACACAGGAATGGAGCTGCCGAAGCAGCTGTCCGTCTGGTCAAAAGGGCGCTTCACAATCTGGCTGGTGATGTAGCTTTGACCTGGAGTGAGTTCCAAACCTTCCTGTATACGGCTGCCAACCTTGTAAACGAAAGGCCGATAGACGCCAGAACACAAAGCAGAGACGATTGTATCAACTATATCAGTCCCAACAGCCTCCTACTAGGACGTGCAAGCCCGAAAGGAAACTTCGCAGAGTTCGGCTTTGAGAACTACACCTTCAAGAGACTCCAGACCATCCAGACTGAAGTCAAAAAGTTCTGGGAGAAATGGTGTCAGCTGGCTGGGCCCAACTTATTTGTGAGGAGCAAGTGGCATTCAAAAGAAAGAAATGTGGCTGTTGGAGACATTGTCTGGGTAGCTGACCAAAACGCCTTAAGGGGTCAGTACAAATTGGGCAGAGTGGTGGATGTCAAAGCGGATCACAAAGGAATCGTCAGGGATGCCAGTGTAAGAGTCTTCCCAAGCTATCCTGTCCCAATGAAGTCTGCCAAGCCTCAAAACAAACTGAAAATCCCTTCCACACTCCTTCAGAGAGATATAAGGCGCCTCATTGTACTGCTTCCAGTTGAAGAATACTCTGCTCCCAACCAATCGGACTAGTGACCTCATTGGGTTCCCCCAAGGAGCTCAAGTGGGGGGTGTTAAGTCAATCTCGGCTTAAATCTAAAACATCTTTCTAATCTACTCTTACTGCTCTGTCTATCTTCCTATCTCTTTTGTTATTTTACGTTTAGCCTGTAGATGGAGGCATAGTTACTTTGGAACCAGTAGTCTGGCAAATAATTAGCCAAGTTTGTGCAGGTGTGTAACCACACACACAAACTGAATGCATGAAGGTGAACACAGATGCTACTGGTGAGTGGAGATTTCTGTTTAAAAGCTTGAAATAGACAAAGGCCTCGTTTTAGTTCGTTTGCTATCAGGAATGTAACATATTTTGGCTAATTCAACCACTTTGAGTCACCCAAGTGAGGGGTAATATTATTTCACTTATTTCTCAGTCTAGGCACCTCAACTCTATTTGGCTAATATCTATTGTGGGTAACTTTCAGTTAATTGTAATCAATATTTACAAGAAATTATCTTTAACGTCTCACAATCAGTTTAATTGATTGGCTCTGTAAGTTGAGTTAACAGTACAGTCTAAAATATTTGTTATTTGTTTAAATAATCTTCAATCTAAAAAGTTAGTGTTATGATCAAATACAATGTTAAAATATTGTGATAAAATTTGTAAAAACTAAAAGTAATTAAGTTAAATTCTAAAAGTATTTGGACCGTAGTTATTGTAATAAAACATTAAAATTACGATAACAATTACAATAAAATTCAAGTTAAAAACATAGTAAAAATAGTACAAATTTAGTTTAAAAGTATTAATTCATTCTTTAAAAAGTAATTCAATAAAATCTGTTTATTAAAAATGTATATTTTCTCCAAAGGTTTTTGACCTGCTGCTGTTGCTACTGCTGATGCAACAAATGACAATAAAAAGTTAAAGCTGAGTTGAACCTGTGTCCTTGTGTTCATTGGGTTTTCAAGTCGAACCTGCATTCAGACATCAAAACTTTAAAGGACTTGACAGTAGCTATGTGCTTTCTAAGTTTGGTTGAGGATAGCATCTCTGGATGCACCGCACCACATTCTTTGGCTACCTGCCGTAGGGAGTCTGATCCCCTGATGTGGGTGTCTGCGCCCGGGCGGGAGAAGAAGTATGGGTTATGGTCAGAGATGGAACAGGCCCTTCTGTTCTCCACCAGCACCTCCATCGAAGCAATCATTTCAGGAGTCAAAAGAACCGGCACTTTCCGACTTCTTTTCCCTTTAATTTCAATGTGTTGAAAATGCTGACACAGCTTTCTCTCAAGTTCGGACAGTCCCAGAGCCATGTCAGAATGGATCCCAGTCTTACTTCTTAAGGTGAACGCTGTCAATGGCATTGAAAATAATTGAAAATAATGACCTCACAAAGAGTCAAAACTGCCAGTTTAGACCAATGCTTAGACGTTGGCTCACTTATTAGGGTTTGCACATATTCAGGTCGACATACCTCAATATGTGCATGCATGGCTCTAACGTCCTCAGTCAGAGGGAGCAGGTCCGGAGTGTTCCACTTGGCTTGCCGGAGGGTCTGTAGGGCAGCAGAAGAAACAGACGTCCCACCTCTTCTCAAAAAGCAGCCGGCTTCGTTGGAGGTTTTTAATAAATAGTTCGTCAACACAATGCTCCATTTTTGAGTCACATTCAAGAATATCTGCTAGCTTTCTGAGGCTATGGCCGAGTTTGAGGGCCAAGGATGGAGTCTTGTATTGATTTGTTTCCTCATCATATCCAGCCACAGACCTGACTGCGTCAATCACATGGTTAAAGTTGGAAGGAATAAAGAAATCCTTAATTGTTTTCAGTTTCCCTGCGGTTTTTGCTTCGTTAATTAACCTACCGACTTCTCTCATTTTCTGCCTAATGTAATCATGCTTAGTCTTATCATGCCCGTGTTTTAAGTACAGGTGCTCTCCGAGTCCCCTTTTCTGCTTTGACAACACCCGTGACCTCATCCTGATGCATTGCCGAAATTAAAGACCACAGCTTTTTGCTGATGCCCTCTGGTACAGGCTGGGCTAGGGAGCAGAGGGACTGGACCCTACTTCTACCTGGTTTAGCCTGGGCATCTTTCTGTGAAAGCCGGCACATGGCCACATGCCTCCACAGCGACTTTCGCTTAAGCAATGCCCCACAGTCTATACAGTGCAAAAACTCACTGGATTTAACTGGGGAATTTGGCTGTTTAGCTGGGACTAAAATTCCAATGCCGGCCTTTAAAACCTCAAAATTGTGCTCACGGTTTCCACTATTCCTGATCAAATCAAACTGAAGTTTACGTGCTTTAGATTTCACAGGTAGAGCCAATGCTCTGGCTATGTCACTTTCATTTCCATGTTTTCTAGTCAAATGACGGGACATTTTGTGGCAGGACATTAAACAGTAGAGGCAGAAGTGTCTCTTGCTGTAAACTCGCCCCCCATTTTTCTTCTTTTGCAGCTGCATGATAACAATCTTATTTGCCTTTGGTTCGTCACTTTCCGAGTCTTGAAGAAAAGTGTTTTTGATTTTTCTTTTTCCATACTTTTTTACAGGTTTCTTCTTGACAGTTAAATCGTCAGAATCTGAGTCGACTTCATCAATTAGGGACTCTTGACTAAGCTGCACAAACAACAAATAATTTGTAATAATTCTATATAACAATTTGAAGTCATGACTTGTAGTCAGCACTTACCAGTGGTTTGTAAGCGTGCGCTTCAGTGTGCTCCTCCATGATTTCTTGCAGCCTAATGAACCACACACTTGCACCTTTTTCTAGCCTGACACCTGATTTCCTCTGTTGTGCTGCTCCATGATTGGCTCCAGCCTGCTGGACTGAAATTGCCCCAGTGTGCCCCTCCTTGATATTCCGCAACCCACCACCAGGGTTCCGACACATAACACACTTTTTTCAGGAAAGTAAACCTCCAGGGGTCCTTTCCATATTTTTACAGAGACTGCATAAGGACCGTTAGAAAAGCATTACCCATTGATTATTAAGCTTGGACCAGTGGGGTCCGGTGTTCGGGCCCCACCACGTAAAACCAGTCCCCATGACGTGAGTGGAATCTCAGGTTATGGAACCCACCAGGAGTTGAAAACAAGTGCGCACACGCACGCACACGCACGCTCGCGCGCGCACGCACGCACGCACACACGCACACGCACACAGGTCTGTCGCGCTCCTCTGTGTCACGGAGCCCAAAGGATCCTCTCAAATACGCGGCTCCAGTCAAACCACATGAAACATGTTTGTGCTGATGGTCCTTGGCATTAGATCAGCTCCACACACATCACTTTTAAACTTTAGCGGAGACCTGTGAGACACGGTGCGTCACTCGCTGCTCTGACCATGGCTCAAAATGGCTGTTATTTCAAAGAACGTGGACTATTTTAAACTACGCGGTTAACCGGTTTCAACCGGTTAATGAGGCTCGGTGGTCGGTCATGAAAATTCATAGTTTTTTACATCCCTAGCTGGGAGTAAGGAGTAGCACCTACTAGTGGTGTGGTTAAAAAAACAATTCTGGTCAGTATTGCGATATTTGATTAAATAATTGTCTGATTCACTTCTGTGTTTTCTCAACATTTACTCTAGTAATTTACATCAGAGGTTTATGTCACTCTATTTTGTCTGCTTTTTGTTACTTTAATCGTCTATTGTATTAGAAAATGTGCTTAGAATTCATGCGAGTGGTTTTTGCACTGCCCTCCTAATGCTTTGCACTTTTTCTTGCAGTTATTGTGCTGACCATAATAGTTATTGTTTCTAAACAAAATCCATTCAGTTACCATTACTGTTACTGAACCATAACTGGTAATTGTAAATGTAGACTGCAGCCAAGGATTTTTTCAATTTGGTTCCATTGTTAGGGTAAATAAACAAACAAAAACATCTTTAAAATGAGGTTGAAAATGCCATGGCAGCCATATTAACATATTACATCAATTGAATCATTATAATTGAAAAGGAGTTTATGGGCCTCTAAAACCGGTCCTTGGGTTTTACAGCAAGATGTGGGATTTTGCATGTTGTCCCTGTGTCTACTTAGGGGAAAATGGGCCACCTGGAGGAAAGCTATCTCAAAAAAAATTATTGTATGGGTCTAAATGTAATGAGAGAGCGGTGTCATCACGCGGTGGAAGCAAGACGCCGAACACTTGATCATCACTGTGTGAAAGAATGGGAATTAATGGTTCAACAAGAATTGTAAAGCGCTTTGTGTGAATCGCAATCTTGTTCTGTGAAGATAAATAACAGGGACTTAACTTCATAGGGTGTAGAGCACATGGAGCTGATGCATGTGTGTTTTCAGGTATTGTCCCACGTGTAAAAAGCACCAACAGGCCACAAAGAAGTTTGATCTGTGGTCTCTGCCGCGGATCCTCGTGGTGCACCTCAAACGCTTCTCCTACAACCGCTGCTGGAGGGACAAGCTGGACACTGTGGTCGACTTCCCCATCAGGTGATGCACATGTGTCCTGCTCAAGGGCATAGAACCTTTGTCCTTGAGTTTGAACAGCATCTTACCGTGACACAGCGTTAGATTCATGTGGGGAACTTTGCCGTACGTTTGAAATGGGTTGAAAATACAAATCCATTTTAGAACTGAGACAGTAGACATTCATCAACATTACTGTAGTTTTCTTCTCCTTGTCCACTTTGTGAGGTCAAGGATGAGTGAGCTTTGCTGCTGCAGCGTTTGAATGAATTAATGAAAAAAATCTCCTTTCTCATCCTTCAGTCCTTTCCTTCTCATTTTAAAAAAGAGGGCAGGCTCCTGTTGTGGCACCAGGAGCTGCCCCATTCGGCCACTGGCATTTTCAGTGGCAGCTATGAGTTTAGTGGCATTTTCGTTTGGCAACCAATACCCTACCGCAGTTAATGTCCCTTTTCTCCAGGATGCTGGACCTGGACTGGTTCAGAGCTCAGTCAGAGCTCAGTCAGCAAGTGCCCGTTACCATAGCAATACTCGTTTATAATAAGTGCTAACTGATTTCACCAAACTTTGTGGGACTTGGCTCCAGAGGGTGAACGTGCAATAGTATAATCTTCTTTCAGAAGGGACCAGGATGTGACTGTTTACACTGTGGGGATTAGGAAGTTTACACTGTCTCTAATGAACGCGCTCCTCTGTTTTCTCTCAGAGACTTGAACATGTCAGAGTTTGTGTGTGACCCTAAAGCCGGACCCTACGTCTATGATCTCATCGCGGTGTCCAACCACTACGGCGGCATGGGGGGAGGCCACTGTGAGTACCACTTCACCAGGGAACCCTCTATTTGGTATTACCCCAACTGAGGTGGTACCAACATTTTATGAAGCCAATTACAGTGCCTTGCGAAAGTATTCGGCTTTAAACTTCTCCACAACAGTATGTCGGACCTGCCTGGTGTGTTCCTTTGTCTTCATGGTTCTCTCTGCGCTTTAAACAGAGCCCTGAGACTATCAAAGAGCAGGTGCATTTATACGGAGACTTGATAACACACAGGTGCATTCTATTTATCATCATCAGTCATTTAGGACAACATTGGATCATTCAAAGATCCTCACTGAACTTCTGGAGTGAGTTTGCTCCACTGAAAGTAAAGGGGCCGAATAATATTGCACGCCCCACTTTTCAGTTTTTTATTTTTTTTTTAAGTTTAAATTATCCAATAAATTTCGTTCCACTTCAGGATTGTGTCCCACTTGTTGTTGATTCATGACAAAAAATTAAAATTTTATATCTTTATGTTTGAAAACTGAAATGTGGCAAAATTTTGAAAGGTTCAAGGGGGCCGAATACTTTCGCAAGGCACTGTACAAGACCAAGTTTGGAAAAAAGGTTGCTCTAGTGTGATTTTCTTTATAAAACACCGACATTGCTTTTTGAATAAATACTGTAATAAAGGATACTATTTTCATTTCAATACACCCATTACACATGAGCGTTGCCATTGTCACAGAGGGGTGTTTATCTCTCTTGTCTCGGTTTGAATTCCAGTCAGAACATGGTTGTTCTGTTGTGAGAACTAATTATAGAAAAAGAACTGTTTCGGAGCCAAGAGCTTTTTTGCTGGATTTTATGCCACAATTTCTTTTGTGGTTTGAAAGTTATGCTACGTAGCAGCTTTAAAGTGATAGTGTGGAACTCTAAATGAATTATAAATTAAGAATTGTATAAAGTGTTGAAATAAAATTAGTAATTTTATGAATTTCAATATTACGGGTATCTTAGCTATAGCTCAAAATCCACAATGCCATCCACATTAAACAATCAAATGATGCTGTCAATCATCACGCTTATTTATATATAAATAAATAAAATTGTTAGTTCCTAAAGGTTTTGCCATGACGTGGCTAGACGTGTAACAGCTAGGGTAGCAAACTAACTAGAATTCTCTGGAACTACATGAAAAGTGAACAAAGAATTCTGAATATCAGTGGTTAGTGACCAAAATATAAACTTAACCTAAATCCATAATCAGATCCTCTGCAAATGTGTCCTAAAATGTTCTACTAATAGTTCTATTAATAGTTACTTCCGGGTTTACAGCGATTGCTTTTTGACGCAGTAAAAAGTATTTTTGTCATGAAAACGGATAATTCTGAAAACCTCCTTGCACGTGTTTAAGAATGTATATGTTTAATGTATTCTCCGATTAACATTTAATTTTGTTAATTGATTGATATTTGTTATTGAGCGTGGCTAGGTCCGATAGCTTCTCACACAGACAGTAGTAATAAGTGACAGGCGCTGAAAGCCTGTTGTTACGATGTGTTCGAACTACTATCCTGAGCAATCTTAGTATTTTACACACCTGAAGTACAAGCACAGAGTGCGTTGCCAAAGGGGAGCGGCCATTATTGGTTTGAGAGGTCCATTATTAAGAAATAATAATCGGTAGAACGTTTTGAAATTACATTCAAATCAATGGAGCATTCTGCTGCTGCTGCTGCAGGAGCTGCATAAGAAATTATTTATTTAAATATTCAAATATTTAATCATAATCTCTCCTCCGCACGTCTTGGCCCATTGACCTGGCGCGTGCATGGAAAAGTAGGCGCGGCTTCAAGACAAATCAGAAAGGAAGGGGGAAGTAGCTTGGGTTGTTCTTTTTTTTCTGACAAACTCCAGAATATCATTTTAACTTTGCCTTCATGAGTTTGCTGTTACGTAGATTTGAAGTCAGCAGACACAGGACTTCTGTATGTGTGTGTTTTGAAGTCACTGATCTCTTGCTCTTCTCACACAGACACGGCGTACGGCAAGAATAAAATGGACGGGAAATGGTATTACTTTGACGACAGCAGCGTCTCGTCCGCCTCAGAGGACCAGATTGTGGTGAGAGAACTCTGCTCTGAAAGAATATTAAGAATCTAATATGACATTTGTGAGCCTCTTGGGTCACTTTGATCTGGGATTACAGAGAGTTTTAAGAAAAATAACTTTTAGACACCGGCAAAGATCCAAATTATTTTTATTATCTAGATCAGGGGTTCCCAAAGTTTTTAGCCCGCAACCCCCATCATAAATGCCCTGCTAACCCGCGACCCCCGCCCCCCCCAACAGCCCTTCTGTCACATGAAATGAGCATGTATTTCCTTGATACGGAGTAACGCTTTCTAGAGACTCACGCCACTACCGAGCTGCACTGTCCAGCCCAAAAAAGGAGGCTTGCATATTTTTTCTCACGTAGTGACACAGTGATGGGCTTGGTGGGCTCCCTCCTCAGCAGAAGTGGAGCGCATTTCTTGCGGCTCGCCCTCACTGTTCTCCTACCGCGGTAAAGTGGGCCGGCTTTCCGGAGTCAGCGGTAAAGAGGTCCGCACATTAAAAGCGGGCGGCCGCTTTCTGCTGTTACTTTATGCGGTTCATCCCCGCGGTTTCTCTTTCCAAAGTTACTGTCAGTAAAGGCATAAACCGGCCAACCGCTTTTAATGTGCGGACCTCTTTACCTTTGACTCCGAAAAGCCGGGCCACTTTAACGCGCTGTTCTGCCGCTGTCCTCCCTCCCTCCGCTGCCCTCTCTCCCTCCTTTGCCCTCTCTCCCTCTCTTCGCACCATCAGCCTGACCCCTGATACAAGTGACTTTTCTCCCCCTCCGGGTTTTTCTGTTGTGGATATTAACCACGTTTCATTTGAAAGCAGGTATTATTTATTTGTAGCCTCCAAACACCTTTAGTTTTAGCAAACAACAGCAGGACACGCTTTGTCGCTGCGCATGATGTGAGCTGTATTACGTGATGATTTTGATTGACGCTGCAATGACTGGGACAAAATTACTAACGTTATTAAAATATATTATAGTCTCCAAACACAATTTAACAAGTAGTCCTTTTGAATAAAATCAAATGCTAAATAAATATTTAAGGGCTTTATATTTGCTCAAAAAAAACAACTTTTTTTTTTGTTTGTGTGGAAATCATCTTGCGACCCCCCCCCCCAGGGGTTCCCGCGACCCCCCGGGGGGTCGGGACCCCCACTTTGGGAACCACTGATCTAGATTGTTTCATTTTTAATTGATACTGCATTGATCCCAAAGGAAATTTGCATTAGTCTCTTGCTCACATTTGCACAAACACTTTGTTTAATATGTAGATCCTCATATTTCCCTGTGTCGCTGGAGAGCAGAATAAGAATACTGTAGTGTTTATATGAGCGGAAAGACCAGCGAGCGTTTGATTTGGTTATGTTACAGAAATAGCATGCCCAATTTCCCTCCAGCGACAGGTTCACTGGTGAATCTAAACAAGACAGTAATACCTGCACATTGTACGGAGTTTGTCTGTTATTGTCTGTCTTGATATTGATTTCAAGTAACTTAAGATATTGTTTGAATGATAAAAACTGAAAGACTACTGGAATTTTTTCAATGCCAAAAGGAACACTGTTTATGTACTTTCAAACTTTCACTAGAACTATACGCACACACTCACCCTATTTTAAATGGTTAAAATCAAATCCAATTCAAACACATTTTCAGTTCCTCCTATACATCAATCCAAACTTTTTCACACTGACAACTCTTCGTTGTGTTTCTGTAACTGTCGTCTCTCTCCCCGCAGACGAAAGCAGCCTACGTGCTCTTCTACCAACGCCGAGACCTGGACGACGGCCCCAAAGCCTCAGCGTCACTAGGGGGTGCTTCTGAGTGCACGGACGACATCATGGACACAAACTAACTCTGTCTGTCACTGCGGCAACAGCACTGAAAATACTGCGGCAGATAGACACTCAAAGCTACTCTCCAGAGAACTTCATAGACTGCATTATTAAATTCACCTTTCCCATGCTTTGGTTTCTGTCTCATTTGCTGAAATCTGAAGCCTCGGATGGAAACCCAGAGACTTGAACGCACTGATCATGTTTGTGGAGGATCGCGCGCACGTTTAGTCGGAGAACCAGGTGTGTCCAGAAAGTAAAGCGTTTTTGAAGAAGCTGAAATGAGACCAGAGAGCGCTGAGCTGAGACCAAACCATCAATATGACTTTAACAACCACTGCTCCACAGATTGAGAACCACTAACCCTCCCAATAACATGTGACTTCCTCCTATTTTCTAATCCAATTTTTGGTTGATCTGCCTCTATAGGCATATTTCCACCAGCTCTGCTCTACTCTACTCTACTCTCCCAGGTAGAGTAGAGTAAGGCTGGTGGAAACAGAGCTATAACACTTGAAGACTTGAGGAAATGGGTGGAGTCTGGTCTGCTGCTTGGTTGGAATGAAAACCTGCTCTATAGAATCTTTAGACTTACTTTCTGGACACACGTCACACATTGCTCTAGTCTGTTCACATAAAAAAGTTAAGCCAAAGCTGTCCACAATATTTATAGCAATCACCAACACAAACCCAGTGTCCTCGTCAACTCCAGCCAATGACAACAGTTCCCCTTTAAAGCTGCACTATGTAACTTTCAAATCAGGGTATTTCTGTGCCTGACATGTTCCACAGTACAGTATCTCACACACGTTTTACGATTATCCCGATAAGGCGTTCTCTAGTCGTAGTTCTAATGCTGCACACTGCAAAATACAACTCAAAAAAACTGCAAAATGCAGTAATTACTGGACTATTAGGCGCACCTGTATATAAGCCGCACCAGCAACATTTTGAAAGAAATTAAATGTTTTTCACCCATAGGCTGCACTGGAATACAAGCCGCAGGTTTTCATGTTTAGCAGATGGACTACTGTTTAAACCCTTGTGCCATTCTCGGGTCTAATTGACAACATGATTTGATGTGTTTTAAACAGATTAACAGTTAATCTGTTAAAACACAACATTAAACCATGTTGTCAATTTGGCTTCCGTGACTCATTCACCGCTAGCTTTCATGGCTAATTAATTTTCATCTATTTTGATAATAAACTTGTTTCCTGTAGCTACTAAAACTTGATGGAGTCAAAATAATAAGTCCATAAACTATGCTCTGACTACTGCCTGACGCCACCACAATAGAAATACATACATTAGCTGCATTGCTAGATGAACCATAGGGTACAAAGAAGTAGAAAAAAGTAGCGGCTTAAGTCCGGAAATGACCGTATTCAGCAAAATGTAAAAATGAGTGATATTATTTTTTGTGTTTGTTTTTGTGTGCGAATTTCAAACCAGGACTAAACAAGTTAATATGAAAAAACCACCAAGTTTTTCAGAACAGTATAATATCTGTTGTTCATAGGTTTTGTACTGTGGGAGATGCCAGGTCTGCGTACAATTCTTTGTGGCGCTTGTCATCTCTGTGGGGAAAATACACAGAGCAGCTTTAAAATACAGTCTCCACACACTGCAAAAAACATAAACATCACTGCTAGAAATACACTGATCCATCATTTTGACTTTGTCTTAAAGTATGATTCTCCAACAGGACGATCAAAAACTCCAAGAATAGTCTGATTTCAGGGGATGAATAGCTTGTCACTTATTTCTTCTGTTAATTCTAGTCTCCTCATCCTCATATGGATCACAGCTCGAACTCTCATTTTTCATTTCTTCTGACACTTAAACTCCCAGAGCAGTCAATGTGACGGAAGAGTAGTTACTCAGCTTATGTACATTTTGGGTCTCTTACTGTTTTTGTAGTTCATTTTTGTTTAACGCTATCTTTTATTATGGAAATGAGAGAAGTTTAAACCATGTAAATGACTTATCGGGGGGAATTTACAGAATTTCATTGGTTTGAACGGGAGCAGTCAAAATGACTACTCTGGGAGTTCTAGTGATACGGACCACTGGCCCAAACAACTGTCAAAACTGACCAGGTTTCTGTCCCTGGTCTTTGGGTCTGTCTCTCGCTCTGTCAACTTTGAAAATGTTAAAGTTTTATTTTTTGATAATCTTATTGCATATGCAGCCTTTTGGATTCCTGCAGAGAGGAAGTACTTTTAAAGAAACCGAATCATAGATATATATAATTTGATGCTTAGAGTGACCGCAGCTTGTGTGGGTCTGTCTCACTGGATCTGCCTCTCTGGGTCTCTCTCACAGGGTCTGCCTCTTTGGAATGGGTCATGATCATGTTTATGTCTTCTATCTTTTCTTTTCTGCCTGATGAGACCTTTAGGTTCCGAAAGCTTGTTCTGGTCTTGTACATTACTGCAGCTCTGTGTTGATATGGCTCTGTTGTTTGATATGGAAGCACACTGGGTGAAAAATAAAATAGAGTAAAACATTTTCTCTTTTGCATTTAAAAACATATTATAGTCTTTGTTTTTAGCTTTTATTTTGTTTCATGTCCTTCTCTCTTGCTCATGACCATCTGGTATATGGTAACCCATGACCGTTAGATACAAAACTAATACATAATTTAACAAAGGACCTTTATCAGAAATGCAGTCAGATTTTTCCAAGGCTTCTGCATCAGTGTGAACATGTTTTAAATTGATGGATATATACGTAATACTTTGGGAGATGGCTGTATTTAACATACTTGTCCATGAGCACTTCCCAGGTTAGCATTGTACTTCTATATACAGTGGGGCAAAAAAGTATTTAGTCAGCCACCGATTGTGCAAGTTCTCCCACTTAAAATAATGACAGAGGTCTGTAATTTTCATCATAGGTACACTTCAACTTTGAGAGACAGAATGTGAAAAAAAAATCAGGAATTCACATTGTAGGATTTTTAAAGAATTTATTTGTAAATTATGGTGGAAAATAAGTATTTGGTCAATTCAAACAACAAAGATCTCTGGCTCTCACAGACCTGTAACTTCTTCTTTAAGAAGCTCTTCTGTCCTCCACTCGTTACCTGTATTAATGGCACCTGTTTGAACTCGTTATCTGTATAAAAGACACCTGTCCACAGCAGGGCTGGACTGGGACAAAAAAACGGCCCGGGCATTTTTTCCTTCTTACCGGCCCAGGCATGTTTTTGTCACTTTTTTACAGTTTGTTTATACCAGGGATCGGCAACTCAAAAGGTTCAAAGAGCCATTTTTGACCAAAAAACTAAAAACATCTGTCTGGAGCCGCAAAAAAATAACAGCCTTGTATAAAGCTTATATGAAGGTTACACAATCTAGCTACATTAGCTACATTAGCCTAATATCTAAATGACCAAGTAAAGGCTACAAATACATAATAAGCATTCATGATTATCAAATGTGTGTTTTCACTGCAGCGTGTCCTGTAGAGAATGACGCACCATGTGATGACTCTGCTTTAACTTTGACTTCCATTTTTTTGCCTTCATGCAACTGTAGAAATACAGTAAATAAATCTGCTTTTTGGCTCAAAACACCTGCACTGTCCGCTAATATCGATTACGTCACAGGCTGAAGTTTGCTGGAGCTGAATGTCCTTTTCTTTCACAGTCTTTGCGGAGGTTTTTGAAGTCTGAAAAAAGTGCTCCGGATTTTGTATGAAAGAATCCTTCGCGTAATCCCTGTGAACGGTATTTAGTGCTTCATTGTTCCTCGTGTTGCAACAAAACTTCCTATTACATCGCAAACATGAAGCAGTCCTTCCTCATTGACTGAAAGCAAATGTTCAGTCTTGTTCTTAGTCCAGTCTTATTATCGACTCTTTCTCTTTTTATCTTTGGGATCCGTGCGCACACACAGTCTGTAATGCACACACGCCGGTTTGTTTACAGCAGCGGCCGCCTGGCGCGGGGCTGCGTCACAGGATATGACGCACTACGTTGACAGAAATGTTGAAATTGAATATTACTTATACACATTTTTACAGCATTGAAATACGTTAGGAATATTTTTCCTACCACAGAAACCACATTCAAACTAGAAATAAAATATAGACCTCCCACTCCATTTTCAGACATTTTTGAAAAGGCTCCAGGAGCCACTGGAGGAGCACTAAAGGTTGCCGACCCCTGGTTTATACAGTATGTGGAAGCATACTGTAGAGGATCAGGATGTCTGCAGTTTCAACAAAAAAATAAAGTGCAATAGTCAAGCTAGTAGTCAGTGCATTACAAGAGAGTAATAAACATGTCTCAGAGTGAGGGAGGTGGACACAGACAATACTATTGTTTGTTACAGGGATGAGAATTGGTCAAAAAAGTCTGAAATGCATATTGTCAGCCATTTGCTGGCTCTAAATCTGTTTAATTTGTTCACAACATTTTACTTTTGGGCTCAAATATGAACTTTTAATTCAATGGAAAATTTAGGTACCCGGGCTTTAATTTAGTCACACTTTGAGAGGAGAGGGGAGACGCGGACTTTTTCCTGCAGCGGTGTATTTATTGGGTGCACAAATTACGCAAAGACACGCATGGTCCTGTGCGCGTTTATGGTCTTGGGTACATGGTCACGTTGCGGCTACGCGCTCACCGTGTTGTGTTGTGAGCGGTTCCCGCGTCCAGCTCAGAGCCGCTGGATGCGGGAACACTGCGGCCGCTGAGGTGGCGGAATCCCGTTTGAGTACATACAGCAGGTGCCCCGCGGACACGCGCGCTCCCCTCAAACAGTTCTCAACGGATTTACACTTTTCACAAACATGTTTTTTGTATGAGGCAGACAGACCGGCCCAAATATGGGCATCGGCCCTTCGGGCATTGCCCGGTACGCCCGATGGCCAGTCCAGCCCTGGTCCACAGCCTCAAACAGTCAGACTCCAAACTCCACTATGGCCAAGACCAAAGAGCTGTCGAAGGAGACCAGGAAAATAATTGTAGACCTGCACCAGACTGGGAAGAATGAATCTACAATAGGCA